TAATTTTAGCCAGGGAAAAAAAAGAATAATTAGGCTGTGATTTACTCTGGTAGTCAACTTACATTAACAATTTTCCCCCATGTTTATGTAATTCTGGCAAAATCAAATAATATATACAGTGCTCATAAACGCTGGGCTAGATTTAGTAAAGACAATTTCCTACACTACATCCAGGACATTTCTCTTTGCTTTCTTTTCTAATAAGACAATCGAGTTGTTCTGTGTAAGGAGGGAATATGATTGTCATGCCTCCTCGGTTGGAATTTTAGTGCAGTCTTCAATGAGGGTCACGGAAGGATTAGTTTTTAAAATTTTTTTTAAGCTGTCATCCTCCTGTAACAAGCTATATAGCGTGCCTGGTCTCTGGGAATGGTTTACTCCACATCCTAACTCTTCTTCCCATGGAGAAAGTATAAATCCTGCAAACTCTCAGTGCCAGAAGCCATCATGCAGTGTTGGCTCTGCAGTGGATGCACAGCTCTCAGCTCAGCACGAGTGAGTTTGGGACTGGATCTCTAGCCACAGCTCGAACAAATGGGGAAGGATGTTTAAGATCCCTAAAGTTATACTCCTAAAGTTGTGTTCCTGCTTTTAAACAAGTATCTTTTCCAACTCCCCTAGAATTGGACTGCTGTCTACATTAGCTGAATAAATAGGGATCTGGGAGCCAAAGCAGTCACCAAGGAATGAAACTGTCAGCCTCAGGCACTGAGAACAGAAGAATGAGTAATGGAAGACAACAAAGGAAGAACAATAGGAGAACCAAAGGAAGTAGAACTGGTGATGGTAACAGAGGAAAAAGGTGCTCAAAGTCACCTGGATTCCAGAACTAGAAGCCATAGGCAAATTCAAATTTACCTGAGTCAGTTTGCTCAAGACAACACCCCCCCAACACTGCCCTTTGCCCAAAAACCCATCCTAATACTTCTGAACAAAGTCTGTCCTCTGATTCCCTCAGGAAGCATCATTAACACACAGAGCACTCAAGCTTTCAATTAAAAAGCATCATTGCTGAAAGCATTATCCCAAATCTTTAAAGGTCTCCATCATTGTTTGGGCTCTGCCACGTTATAAATTCACAATGAGAAGGAACTTCCCCGACTTTTCCTATCATTATTTATGAATAGGTAAACCAAATGGAAGAGTAATCTCAGTGTTACAAACTGGAGTCACTCATGCTTTGCTCCCAGTGGCACCATGGCAGAGCAGCTGCTCCAGTTCTCTCAGGGTGGTGCAGCGATGCCTTATCACACAAACCCTTCTGCTCTGTCAGCAAGGGGACACAACACTTCTTATAAGCAAAAATTATTGGCTTAATATTTTCTCACTAGTTTTAGCCACAGAGTAGTTTCTTTCTAGGTCTGCCTAAACCTCATCTAACCTTTAAGACAATTCTTTCCCATGTGACCCATGAGAGTTGCACGAAATGAGAAATATATCCAAAGAGTAGCTGCAGAAAATATACAGAAATAACTCGTTTTCATTGAGATGTGTTCATTTTTGAGTTCTGACTTTCCCCTGAACTTCCTTCCCTGAAGGACTGGAACAGTAATACCAGTACAATAATACCTTTTCTCCTGAAGTGGAGTAAATCAGTTCCTCATTCTCAATAGTGAAGTGAAAATTAAGATGAAAAGGAGTATAGAATGCAGAAAACCCCTATTACTCCAGAATAATACAATTTGCTGCTGATCCTCAGTTGCTAAGACAGGCACGTCAATTATTTATAGAACTCAGAGTGTGAAATATGAAGTATTTCAACCTGGGACACCAAGAAGGTAAAACCAGGAACACAATCCTGACAGCACTGGCAGACAAGGACAGAATAGGCAAGCACGGAATATTTCTACACAGATTACCCTTTTTATTGAACTACAAATTGCAAAAGGTCTCTATCAAGTGCCACTTTCAGTGTTAAGTGAGCTGCATCTTCCTTTTGACAGTGTCAGTCTGTATTTAATGTTTATTTAACATTTATCTAAAGGGCCATCTCTGCCAGGGAAACAATGTACAGTAAGTTAGCATAACTTCACCTGAATATTTACAGGAAGCCCAGGATCTTCTCCTGGATCTGTGCTTATGTCCATCAACAGCCTGTCACAAACACTGTAAAACATGCTCCACACGACCAAACTTTGCCAATAATTTTCAAAATCAAAATTCCAATTTATGTTCTCAGCAGTGACACCAAAATTTATCTGCACCTGTATGGTTTATAGCAGGTTTGTTGAGAGCAAGTATCTGGATTAAAATTCCCCAGGTTGCAGTGAAAGGTTGTTCATAGCTCATCTGAGGAACTAACAGGTACTATTCAAAAACATCCAAAATTTCTTGGGGAAAAACCCAAAGCAAACTAAATAAAACCTCACAGACAAAATGAGAAAACCTTGGAGCCCCAACTTCTAGTAACAGCCACTGACACATGGCATGGCCTTGCTAAAATGCTTTGGGGGTCTATGCAGTATTCTATCTCCAATCAAGTATTTCAAAGCTGGAGGAATTCTAAGTGCATCTCCTCCTCCTGCCTTGCCTCCAACTCTGAGGGCAAAAGCTTCAAATACAGTGACTAAGAAATTACAGAAAAGGACTAGCACTGATCTTTCAGATCAAAGGATATGGAGTGATTCACATTCTTTTCCTGACTGCTTGCGAGAGGTGGGCTAAACACCAACAGTCAGGTGCTGAAAAGCTCTACCTCAGTACGAAAACTTGCATCAGCAATGAGGCTACAGGACCCCAAACAGGACTCTCCCTTAGACAGGCTCCCTCGCTCAAGAGCTCTGTCACCCAATGTCACCAGAAGGGTGACACACACCACCTTCCACTGCTGCCAGTGCTCACCGATGACAGCGTTTGCAGGACAACCAGCAAATCAGAACAGGTATTGCCCGTTGCTCTCCTGCAACTGAAAACCTGAATGCTGACACGACTGAGGGAAAAACTAAAAAACCACAAGCTAGCCCCTCAGGCTACTGTCTGTCCCCAGGGTCACACCAAATACCACGTGCTGGAAGGAAGCAGAAGCAGGGAGGACTTGGCAGCGCCTGAAGCACAACGCCTGCAGAAGCGATTGTGCTGATGCCAAATCTGGTCCTTTCGGAGCTTTCCAGCCACTGCTGAGCGGACAGCACGTGTTGCAATGCTGGAGCTGGCAGCGGCACTGCTGAGCACAGCTAGTGGCCACTGGCCACTTTAAAGCACCAACACCATGCAACTGCCCTGAGCCAATGTTTAGCGGCATGAGCAGTAAAATAACACATATACTGAGCTCTCAAAACTGCAGCAAATATTGAAAAGCTTCCTTGTTCCAAATTTCACCCGGCCTTGTGGGTGCTGTAGCCACAATTGCTCTGTGCTGGCTGGGTGCCAGCGCCCCAACCAGGGACCAGGACGAATAAGGAATGGCTACACAACCTGGCTCTAGGGAACCAGCACTCCTGTAGGGACACGGGTCCTGCCAGCATTGGCTGTTCTCCAGTTTTATAGACTCAAAGCTCTTCAGACTGATGGTGAAGAATTTTGAAACCCAACGAATATAACAGATTTGCATCCAAGTTTATGGAAATTGCTGAAAAATACATCAACATCCTTCACATACACATATGCAGAAAAACAACTAACAAAACCATCAATCTCCCAAAATATGGATTGACAACAACAGAAACTTGCTAATTACTATTTTAAGTATCCTTAAATTCTCATCTCTGGTGCTATTAAATTAAAAATTATACAATCATGGATTTGAACTGTAGGACAGTTTATACAAGTTAGGATCATTCCAAAAAGTCAACCAGTGTTTCAGAGTATATTTAGCAGATATTTTGAACACGGGCAGAGCAAAGAGCTCTGTCCATGAAAGGCTCTTGTCATTTTGGGCTGGAAGGCTCAAGCGGACCAAGAGTTCTGGAGGGCTAAATGCCATGAACATCTGAACTACTGGGAATTCCTCCCTGATTGCTGTTTTGAAAACAACGCTTCCAGCAGAAACTATTATTTATACATATCGACCCGTTAGACAGTACTGAAAAGATCCTCTGCTTGCCCCAGAAACACCCTGTGTCCCACACAGCTGCTGCTGGAGAGAGATGAGAGGCAGGGGCAACAGGCAGATCATCACTGCAAACCTGGAGCACTTGCAAGGAGAACATTTGCTTTTGACTTTTGAGGGATTTAAGTCAGCCTGCACAAACAAGCAGGAAAATATCCCAAGGAGAGCTACATGACTAATGAAGATTTTCTTGCTCCTCATCAGTTGCTTCAGCCACTTCTGCTGCCACTGGATGAGTACAACAAGTCCTTTCTACTGCGTGGTGCTCTGCAGGTATGACTAAATCTGCCTCTTACCTCCCCAAGTCCCCAGGTAGACTATCACGCCTCCATTACAGAGAGAATTTAGCAGAATGAAAGAGCCAATAAGAAGTGTTTCCTCTGGGCATCTCAACAGAATTATCACAAAATGCGGTAAAAGGCATCAGAGTAGCAGAGAGAGATTCAGCCCTGTCAGAGGCACCTGTTTGCAGAACACTCTCAACACTGCAGCCACGTGCACCTGCCCAGGGGCAGCAGGAGCCACAGGAGGAGCAGGCCACTGAGCGACTCTCTGGAGAACAACACTGGCTGCAAATGGACCGGTCCAGGGCTGCTATCATTTCTGGTTTTGCCCGTAGCACAACCACAGCAGCAGAGGTGTGGAGTAACTGCTGGGCTGGTGGGGCAGGGAGAGCTGCAGCACCTGCCAGCGCACACATGCAGGGACAGGGTGGAAAGGACGAATTGCATGGGTTTTAGGTACAGAATGATGCAACTTTGGGGAAAACCCGAGCAAAGAGAGAGCCGGTCAGGAGTGAGAGGTGGCACTGGGACTTCATGCAAAACGGAGGAGGAGGGAATTCAGAACACTGAGCTCCGGTTTGAGGGGGTGTGCCGTTTGCCTCATGAGGAAAGGTACCCCACAAAGTCCCACAGGCTCTGAAATGCACTCAATTAGCTGTTCCTTTTACCTTTTTGTTCTACCCAGCATTTCTTCAAGAGCACTGTCATCTCTGGCTTTGGCATCCTACTCATCATCTATGAATTCATGTTGCCGTTTCCTCCCTGAAAGGAAAAATCCCATAGTCAGTCATTTGCTACACAGAGGAACGGACAAAAGTGACAGTATTTTTGCCACTGTTAAAGTTCAAAGACCACCTTGCTCCAGACAACACTTCAAATTGTACTTTTGGCTATGGTGTAATTCAGCCATGATCAATCAGTGTGTGCTCACTCCACAAACTTACCCCAAAGTTTCCTGCAAGCAGCTGATAAGCTGTCAGTGCCTCAGCCCTGCCTGGAGAGAAGGAACAGGGCAATGACTCGCTCAGACTAAAAAAATTCCCAACAACAAGAGAAACTTGTGCCAGGCAAATATCTTTATTTTACTTTAAAACATTCTGAAAGTGTTAATCTATATAAAAGAGAAGCAATACAAGAACTGAGAAAGCATGTTTAATGTTAGGGAAGCCTTCACAGCACACGAGCGAAATTAAAAATAAGACTAAACACAAGTGTACAAAGCGGAGACAAAAAAAATCAATTTTCTCAAAGACATAACATAAGGGACTCCCACAGGGGCCAGCAAATTCTGGAAGGGAGAAAGAGATTATATTTTATGGGAAGAGATTCAATAAGCATTCTTTTCCCATAAAGGTAGTGATGGAGGATTGTCACTGCTCCATAGACACCCCGTGCACATTTCAGGACAACAGTAACAGGAAATCAATAGCACCTTTTATATGTGCAAAGACATTATGTCTCTGGACTCCTAATACTAACAAATGGGGCCAAGAAAGACCTTTACTAGAATTTAGCAGTCAGCATTACTCTGGCTGAGAACAGAGGGCAGGATGCTGGTCTACACCCTTATATTTTTAGGTTTTTTATTTAAAAACTAACTCTGCTCAGAGCATCACCCTCGAGTGGTGCCCAGCAGTCCCCAATGACAGTACATCACAAGTGTAACGGTGCTGAGCCCCGGTGCTGTCACCCCATTGCACACATCCCCTCCAGCTGATGCTGTAGTCATTACAGACAGGAGCTTTGTCAGGGGGTAACTTGACAGCTTTGACAAGCTCGGCTGAATTTATGGCACTTTCTAGTTTTTCCCTCCATTGAGCTGCGATGGAACTAAAGTTAATATTACCAAAACCACTCTGCAAGGGGATAGGTTCCCAGTGCTGACTCCGTGATCCCAGCCACTGAGAGAATCTGCTACACTGGGCCCCTCACAGTGTCCCCTGCCACCCTCAGGGACAGAGAGGGCACCTCCATCCAGGCCACTTGCGAGAGGAGATTCCATGATGAAGGTCTCTGGTACCTCTGTCTCTACCACAGTAGAGGTAAATCACCACTAGTAAGGCTACTCACAGCTTACTAGAGAACAATGAAGCAGCAGCCACAGTGTCACAGGTCTGACAACACATGCCTAGCTAAATCCAGGACCTGAGTCTTGGGGGCTGCTTCTCTTGCTGTAGGGACTGTATCCCACACAGCACCACAAAGCTTCCACCTTCAAGTACCAATGTGGGAAGAGGAATATTGCACGCCAAACCTCGGCAAGTTAGTAAAACACCAACAAGTACTTTTCTTCTTTTTCTTCCTTTTTCTTTTTCCCATCAGATTGCTCTTTGGTATGTATGTTACATTTCTTCTGTTATAATGCAGGGTTCTACAGAGCTCTCTCTACATCCTTAGAAAGCACAGTTCATATTTAGCTCCCTAAACTCGTATTTCTCTCTTCCTATATTTCCCTGCCAAGATGTGACACCTGTGGAACGTTCCCAGAAAATTCCCCTGAATCATCTGTGATGCAAGGGAACAGCAGCCAGCATTGGCAACAAGCAGCTGGGTCTTTTAGGAAAGTGTAAGATCAATCTGGTGAGGGGAAAGATCCCCAGTAATTCTGGCACTAACATCCCCAAGGACCACAGAGCTCCCAAATCAGTTAGAATAAGAGCATAATTACCACAGGACCAAAATCCATGGGAAATAGCGTTGCCATGGCAACTGACATCCTCACAACTTCAATCTCCTTTGCATTCTTGCACAGACTCAATGACTCCTAAACCACGAGGAAAAAAAAAAATCTGTCTAGCAGGTGGGTTCATTGAGGAAAAACAGTGCTAGAGGTGCTTCCCCGCAGAACAGACCTATTTCCACATGGTTTCTCAGAAAGGGAGCCTTTGTGCAGCTCTCGTTCCAAGCATTGCATCTCACTCACCAGGAGTGCAGAGGAATGGCTATAATACAATCAATACTTCCTTGTTAACTACCCTTGTATCAGAAAAAAAATCTTATTAAATATTAAAATTACCCCCTTCAAAAATGAACCTTTTCAAATAAAAGTTACATGAAGATAAAATCCAAAGCAGACTAGCTGAGTTTCGAAATGAGAATGTGGTTTCGCATTCTCATGGGCTGCACTGGTGTCAATGAGTGGTCTTTCAAACATTCCTCTCTAGAAACAGCAGTACCCAAAAAGCACTCCAGCATCCCCATACACAGATCAGATCCAGCCACTGGGCAACATCCATACATAAGCAGGAAAAGCCTTATTTTTTTTTCCTGACAGCCTTATCACAGTATTAATTTAAAGCACGCTTTAAGCGAGGTTCACGTTAACGAGCCGGCTGAGCAGCCCTTTTGCTAAAAGCTCTGAGCTTTGCACACTTTGGAGGCGTTTCCATTTCGGTACTGGTCGGCCCTGGGGAGTTTAACCCACCATCAGAGAGGGCAGCACAGCGTGAACCCCCAGGTCCATGTTCTCTACGCCAAAGGCCAAAGCAGCACTATTGATCCAAGGAAAACTGTTCCGGATCTACCGGTGACAAACGAGCACACGGTCTGCCCACGGTGTGCCCCTGCCAGCCGTGCTGTGCCCGCGGGTCTGGAATCGCTGAGCTCAGCCGTGCTCGCCTTCGGGTGCCGTGCAGGCAGATCCGCCCCGGGACCCTCCGCTGTACCGGGCTGCCGGACTTCCCCGCTGCCCTCCGCCAGCCCGCTCACGGAATAGCGACTCGACGGTGACAGCACGGTTTGGAAATCGCCCTCTTGTTACGGAGGAAAGAGGCCTCGTGGCACCGTCTGTACCTACAGGTTCCGCAAATGACCGGAGCGAGAGACTGCCCTTTAGGCAGGCACCGAGGGCCCTGCGGCACCGAGACGGGCACCGGCAGAGGAACCGGGGACGGGCACCGGCAGTCGCGGTCGCCGTCCCTCCCGCTATCCCCCGGGAGCGAGGCGGAGGGAGGCCCTGAGCACCCACGGCACTGCCACAGCCGCCGCTGGGGCATGCAGCGGCATGGAGAGCCGGGAAAGACGCGTCAGAGTGCCGAGGCGAAGAACGAGGGGAACATAGCCGGAGCGGGGCAGAGCAGGTCGGTGCTGGTGCCGGTGTGAATGTCGGTGCCGGTCCGCGCTCCCTCCCTCGCTCTCTCGCTCTCTCCCTCAGTCCCTCCCTCCCTCACACTCACCCCTCGCCACCTCCGCCGCCGCCGCCGCCTCCCGGCTCTCGCGCCGCGCACACGCACGCGCACACGCCTGGGCCGCGCGAGCGCGGTGGGGGGAGTCGGGGGCGGGGGGGGCCGTTCTCGCGCGCGTGCGCGGGCGGTCGGACCGCCGGGCCGGCGGGGGGCGCCACAGCGCGCGGCGCGGGGTGAGAGGTCGGGACGATGGCGGCGGCCTTGGGCGAGGAGGCGCCGGACAACGAGGACTACTACGGGCTCCTCAACGTGCGCCGCGAGGTGCGGCCGCGGGGCCGCGCGGGGCCGGGGCCGCGCGGGGCGGGGCGGGGCAGGGCAGGGCAGGGCGGGGTGAGACCCTCGTGCCCGCCGAGGCGGGAGCGGCGCCCCTGCGGCGTGTCCTCCACGCGGGCCGGGCTGCTGTCGCCGCTGCCGCTGTCGGCGGCGGGGCGGGAGAGCTCGGGCCGGGCCGCAGGGTTCCCGGTTGAGTGCGGAGGGTGAGCGCCGGCTAAGGCCGAGAAATGCGTGGTTTGTTCCGAATTGCGGCGGTTTGGGCGCTCCCGGGCGCTCCTGATGCAACTCCGCGCACGCGGGATACACCGGGTCCCCTCGGGCACGGCTGTGGAGGCTTCCCGAACGTTTCCAACTTGGAAGCAGCCAGGTTTTTTTTTGCAAAACATTTTTTCCCGCCGAAAAGGGAGGATCGACAGTCTTTGATTTCACTTTTAAGAATAGATGGATATCAGTTGGTGCAGATTGTTACACCAGAGCAGTTTGGAACTTATTGGGAGGCAGCTGCTTTTTTTTAGTGATAATTAGGAAGATCTCAAAAGATCTGGATGTGGGAACTGTGCTGTAGTTTGTTTCAGCAAATGCAACTGCAATACAGATCTGTTACATATATATATTTGTGTGTGTATAAATATGTATAAACAGCCCATGAAATCCATCAGCCTGGATGTGGCCATTTTAGTTGGACAAGGCTCGTACTGAACCACCACTACTGCGTGCAATAGGAGATCCAGACTTGGAAGCGATTCAGTCTGATATCTTGGAAGAATTCCCTTTGGGACTCCTGTCAGTCCCTGAGCTGAGTCTCATATGTGAGTATCTGCTGCACTCCTGAAGGAACAGCGTGTGATGGTCACGCTGCTTGCAGATCTCCATGATGCTGAGCTCCTTTTAAAAAAATGTCGAGCCCTCATCTGTTTCAAAGCCGGTAGGGTCATGCTTGTACATTCCTTGGGAGCTTTCGTAATTCCCCTCCAAAACGTCAGCAGCGTGCAGAGGTTAAAACGAGAGGTGGGAACCGTGCAAGGGTTGTGACTGCTGGGGGAAGTTTAATGGTTAACTTAGCCAGGCTTCCAGAGCAGGACATTCAGGTTTTGTACAGCCAGAAGCTGGAAACTGAATTAAAGGGGTCTGCGAGGGAGTCATTCCAACAGAGAGGAACTCGTGCTTTGTTAATTGCCCCATGCTAATTATCTTCAGCAGTGCTGTCCTGTGGTGGATGTGGTGAGCAGCATGTCTGGGTGCTGAGCACAGGGTGGTGTGGCAGCTGAGCTTGGAACTGCAGTGATTCCATGGAGGCAGGATCCTGTGAGCAGGAATTGCTCTCTGTGTGTATGAATGGTTCATCTTTTAGACATGTTGGTCTACTAAAAACGTGGTGCAGTGTTTGAGATCTTAAATGAGGCACTCTTTTAATGTTTAGAGTTTTGGTAATAAAAATGTAACTTACATGCAATTATTTGTGACTACATTTCCTGGCAGTCTAAAAATTATGTCAGGGTTTCTTTAGTGGTTTTGAAGAGGCTGTTGCTTGTGGAATATTGAACCAATGACCCAAACTACTCAGTGATGATGAAATGCCCAATCTAACATTTTATTGAACATGGCAGTTATGAAAAATGAACCTGCTCATTTCTATTATATAATCAATAGCACATTAAACCATTTATCATTAATTTGATTTAAAAATGCCATTTTGGGCCTATATGTTCCCCTGCCTTCCCAGTCGAGTTTAAATTTGATATCCGAGAAAGCACAAGGTAGTAAAAAGAGAAAAGCTAATTGTAGCTGTCCTTACTGTCTTGGGACGAGCAAATTTGGCAGCTCCCCTTTTGCCATGTCATTTCAAAACATTAATAATCAACAACACAAACGTGCAGAAAAAACATTTTGGGCTGTCCTCAAATCCAAATAGATTCCTAGCATTGTGACACAATGGAGAGCGTTTCTGTGATGGAAACCTTCCTTGCCACAAGTGATAAAAAAGATGTTACTTT